TGTGACTGTTGTTTTCTGCCATTTATTATTTAAGTTAATGTTATATATTAAAGGACAGCTATAAAATGCAAAGGACAAAAAGAGTTAGGGGGAAAATAACGCAATGTAATTGACAGAGGGTTAATCTCCTTAATGTACAAAGAGCTTATACAAATTGATAAGAAAAAGACAAATCATCCCAAAGAAAATTGGACAAAGCATATGAAAATTTGCAAAAGAGGAAATCTAAATGGCCAACAAATAGAAAAAAAAATTCTCAATTGCACAAGTAGTCAGAAAAATGCAAATTAAAGCATTCAAATACGACTAGCTCTCAGAATGGCAAAAGTTAGAGTATCAACATCCAGTGCTGGAGGGGGGTTTGCCTTAGTGAACTCATATTTTGCTGTTGGCACTGGGAAACCTTACAGTCTTTTGGGGGAAGGAATTTGGTACTTGAGCCTTTAAGGCAAGTTTCATCAAATTTCAGACTCTACATTACTCAAACAACATTCTCGGGCCACGATGCAATTAAGGTAAAAATCACTGACATAAGGATTAACTTTTTGTTCATTTAGGGAAAGGAAATGTAGTGTCAGGAATTGTAACATTTTCTGCACGCCCTCTAATTTCTTCTTTGACTCATCGCTTCCTAGAATAGGACGCGACGGGCTGAGGTGGGTCAAATCGCGTACAGCTCCTTTGGGCAGCATTCCCACCCCTGCTGACCAAAGCCCACTAAACGCGAAGCTGGCACTCGGCCGCCTTTGTTGCCTTCCCCCAGAATAAAACTCCGCTTCTTCCCCACATTCGCGTTCTCCCTGGAGCAACGGCAGGAATAAAGCACCCACACTCCCCTGTCCTTTCAGTCTCGAGGATTTTTGCAAGTTCGACAACGGACTTTTAAATAATTTGAGGGTCAAAAGGGAGGAAAAAGTTACAAATTAGCACTTGAAACCGAACTAATGAAAACCAGACAAATCTAAATTAATACAACAAATCAAAACTTGGATCTTTAGAAGAAAACTTTAGCCTTAATACATATACATGGAAAGCAGAAAGGCTAATGACTGGATTTTGAAAACGAGCCAAGATGCCCCACCACTGATGTCACACACACACACCATGACTCCTGCGCAGATCCACGGTCCCTGGCGCGGAATCACCTCAACCCCCGGCGCCCACAAAGGTTAAACTCTCGCCGCCGGCGACTTCCGCTTCCTGGCCTAAGTCTCACACGCACGACTCCCCCTGCGGCGACTGCACAGGTTCAGTGACAGCCGAGACGCCGGGTGTTTCCCCCTCCCTCGCCAACTGGTCCCTGCCGTGGCCCAGGTCGGAGCTTTCGACAGAGGGGACGCCAGGTGGGCTCGGAACGGCGCGGGCGCCGGGTCCGGGCCACGGCGGGAGAGGGTCGTTGAGTCCCACCTAGGAGCGCGGCGGGGGCGGGGGCGAGGGTGGGTCGGTCTGCGGGAAGCAGAGGGGCTGGGCGACGTTTAAAGAAGCAGGGGCTCCCCTGGGGAGACTGCCTGAGGCCGGGCCACCCTGAGGGCTGAGCAGGCCAAGCGCCCCGCCCGCCGGGGCCTCGAAGGTGAATGACTCCTGGAGGCTGCGGCCGAGGGGAAAAAGCTCGGTGGTACAGTCCTCCGGCCGGTGCCTCGGCCACTGGGAAATCCCACAGGGGAACATCGAGTAGGGGACCGCGGACTCCGCGGCAGAAATATCCCCTCTTCCAAGATGGCGGCTCCCATAGAGACACTCCCAAGGGGACAGCCATGTTCCTCGCCTGACAAAGTCACTAAAGACAATTGGAAAGCGCGCCTCCCCTCTGGCACACACGCACACGCACGCACCGACACGGTGTAAGTACACCGGGAATAATCGTGGGCGAGCGGCCGCTTCCAAATTGACACTGAGTATGTGCACATCAAGTCCAGACGCGCCGGGGTCCCTTGAAGCAGTTGCGGGACTTAGGACTCTGGGAGTTTAACTGAGAAGGTTTTAGGGCCAGGCCAGTTAAACGGAGATAGTTATGGGAGTGTTATGACAGGGATTTCGCACTTAATGATGGTACTCAGAAGGGTGAGTAACGGAGCTTCTCTGTGGTCACTTATAGGGAGGTGCGGAGAGTGAGTGACAGGTTTGAGGGTGAGTGATGAGGTCAGTGGGGAAAGTGATGGGGACACTGGAATGGAGTGCGTGATGGGCCTGTAGGGTGAGTTTTGTGGGGTGTGTGGGTGAGCGACGCAGGGTCTCTAGGATGAGTAATGGGGAGTCCGTGGAGTGAGTGATGGGGGTCTGCAGGGTGAGTGAGGGAGGTCTGTGAGGTGTGGAATGGGCTTTATTGGGTGGGTGGCCAAGGTTTCTGTGGGGTGAGCGATGCATTTATTTGGGACTAGTGGGGGGAGTTCTGTGGAATCAGATGTGCAGCTTCTTGGGGTCAGTGATAGGTGGTATTTGGATCTGAGATGAGGTTGTTTCAAAAATCTTTTGACTTTGTCAGTCCTCCTGTATCTTTCTTTGTTATTAATTTCTGTCCTTGACTGTCATTATTTCTTTTTTGTTTGTTTTTTTTTTCTCTTTTTAAAATTCCTAAACTGAATGTTTATCTCATTACTATTCAATCATTTTCCTTTATAGTATAAGCATTAAGGTTATGAATTTTCCTCTAAGAGTACTTTAGCACCGTGTCACAGTTTTGATATGTAGCATTTCCACTATAGTTTACTTATAATGTTTTCTAATTTCTGTTGTGATTTTCAATCTAATTCCTGAGTTATTTAGATATGAGATTTTGATTTCCTAAAATGTTGACATTTTTGTTATTGATTTCTAAATTGTGGTCAGAGAATGTCATCTGAGTGATAATTAGGTGCAGGAATGATGTTTTTAAGTTCAATACATACCACCAAATTATTTGCCAAAACTTTTGTAAAATTGGAACTCCCACCAGCAACAACATATAAAAAGGCTCATTCTAAAATCCTTACCCACACTGGATGTTGTTGCTTTTTTCGTTTGCCCAATTCCGAGGGCCAAACACAAGAGTATCTAGTTTGCCTTGATGTGCATTTTCCTGACAACTAGTGGTTGAACACCTTTTCACATTTATTGGCCACTGAAATGTATTTGTAAAATTTTTCATATCCTTTGCTCTTTTTTTCTTTAGGTGGTTTGTCTTTCATACTAATTTGTGAATATTAACCTTCAGTCATATATTTTAACTATATTTCCTTTATCTCTATATCTTGACTTTTGAAAAGTATCTTCACATTTAATTAGAAAAATAATCATCTAATTAGCTATGTTTGTCTTTTTCCTTTACAGATTCTGAGTTTCTTGTCTTGCCTAGTGAGTTCTCCCCATTTCATGATTAAACAAACATTTAAATTTATTAAATTTATTTATTTATTTATTTATTTTTGAGACAAGGTATCACTCTGTTTGTTCCCTGAGCTAGAGTACAGTGGCGTCATCATAGCTCACTGCAACCTCAAATGCCTAGACTCAAGCTATCCTCTTGCCTCAGCCTCCTGAGCAGCTGGGACTATAGGCGCATACCACCACGCCCAGCCAATTTTTAAATTTTTGTAGAGATGGTGGTCTCACTATCTTGCTCAAGCTGGTCTCGAACTCCCAGCCTCAAGAGATCCTGCCAACTTGGCCTCTCAATGTGCTAGAATTACAGGCATGAGCTACCATGCTTGGCCTTAAATTTATTTTAATATATTTGTTTTAATTTTTAAAGTTAATCTTTAATCCAACTGGAATTTATTTTGGTGTGTGGTAAGAGATGGGGTCATTTTGTATTTTCTATTTGGATAGACAGTTTGCCAGCACCAATCATTAAATGAATATCCTTTTCTAACTCAATTAAATGCCACTCTTGTCACATAAATCCCCAAATGTATATTGTTTTATTTCTGAACTCTATTTTTTTTTTTTGAGACAGAGTCTTGCTCTGTTGCTTGGGCTAGAGTGCCGTGGCGTCAGGCTAGCTTACAGCAACTTCAGACTCCTGGGCTCAAGCAATCCTTCTGCCTCAGCCTCCCAAGTAGCTGTGACTACAGGCATGCGCCACCATGCCCGGCTAATTTTTTCTATATATTTTTAGTTGTCCAGCTAATTTCTTTCTATTTTTAGTAGAGATGGGGTCTCACTCTTGCTCGGCTGGTCTGAAACTCCTGAGCTCAAGCGATCCTCCAGCCTCGGCCTCCCAGAGTGCTAGGATTACAGGTGTGAGCCACCATGCCCGGCCATGAGCTCTATTCTTCTGATATATGTGTCTACTCCTTTTTAAAGAATTTTACTGACTTTAGAAACAGTTTTAATATCAAATAGTGCTTGTCTCCATCAGTGTTCTTTTTTGTGGTTTTCTTTAATATTGTTGAGCATTTATTCTTCCATATGAATGTTAAAATCATTTTATCTAGTTTCAAAAATAACCATTAAAAATTATATTTGATAATATTCTTCTTATAGGTCCAGCACCTTTTTTTAAAGTTCATTCTTAGATATTTTATCTTAGTTTTTGTCATCATTGAGAATAGCTTTTTATTTCTATTTCCATAGGAGGAATCTATTGATTTTCTAATTTTATTTCTTATCCAATCCAGTTATCAAATTCTCATATGAATTTTAGTTGCTTTTTATAGCCTCTTACTGTTCTTCGATATCATATTACATCCAATTAAAAATCATATTCTCTCTTCCATTTAGATATTATTCTGATCACCTCATCTTCTATGGCATTAGCTAGAGCCTTCGGAACAATGTTGAGTGATACTTGATATAGGGTATTGCTATCTTCTTGCTAGTATTAATGAATATAACTTAGACATGTTTTATTCGAAAGTGAAAGCTGTTTATTTATTCATTCATCCATTCAACAAACATTTATTGAGCACCTGCCCCTTGCCAGATATTGAGTTTGAAATCCTGCTTGGCCACTTACTAGCTATGATCTTTTTTTTCCTAACAACTTTATGATATAATTCACCTACCATAAAATTTACCCATTTAAGGATTACAGTTCACTGGTTTTTAGTATATTCTCAGAATTGTGCAACCATCACCACAGTATAATTTTAGAGTATTTCATCACCCAAAAATGAAACACTGTACCCATTAGCAATGATTCCTCATTCCCAACCCTTATCCCTAACCACAGGCAACCACTAATTTACCTCCTGTCTATATAGATTTGTCTATTCTACACATTTTATATAAATGGAATCATAAAATATGTGATTTTTTATGACTGTCTTCCTTCACTTAGCATAATGTTTTCAAGGTTCATCCATGTTATAGCATGTGTCAGGACTTCATTTTATTATTTTTATTGTGGTAAGAGCACTTAACATGAAATGTAGCCCCTTAACAAATTTTTAAGTACACAATACTGTTAATTATAGGCACAACGTACAGCAGATCTGTAGAACTTACTCATCTTGTATACCCGAAACTTTATACCCATTGAACAGCAACTTCCCATTTCCCACTCTTTCAGCCCCTGGCAACCACCATTCTACTGTTTCTGAGTTTAACTATTTTAGAAGTACTTCACTCCTTCTTATTACTGAATAATGTTTCATTATATGGATATACCACATTTTATTTATGCATTCATCAGTAGATGTACATTTGGGTTGTTTCTACTTTTTAGCTATTATGAATGATGCTGCTATGAACATTTGTGTATGAGTTTTTCTGTGGACATATGTTTTCATTTCTCTTGGATGGATACCTAGGAGTGGAATTGCCGGTGTGAGGGAGTGAAACAGAATTTTACTTCTTCTCTTTTAGGGTTTCTTTTTGGCTGGGCCTGAGAATTAAATTGATAGAAGACAGATCAACAGAGAAAATCATACGAAATGTATTTCATGCAAGTTTTATGTGGCACAGGAGCCTTCATAAAGAAATGAAGACCCAAAGAATAGAGTCAATCACTTATATATTGGATTGGACAAAGAATAGTAAGTTGTGAAAAGGCAACTAAATTATATAGGGAGGCCTAAAATATAAGAGTTATTTTAAAAAGGGTTGTACAGAATTCTCTTGGTCTCTACTTCCCTTCCTTGATGATAAGAATATTGCTTTCCTTCTAGTAGAAGGAGGGAATCTTTCACATGGGAATGTTATCTCCTGCTTTTAAGAAACAGAAGGAAGGTCAGTATGACCTTGCACCTGCTGTTTTTCAAGTGCCTTTAACTCAAAATAGTCAATACACCAGAGTGGTATATTTTTAACTGCTTCACTGGATCACGTGGTACCTCTATGTGTAACATTTTGAAGAATTGCCAAACTGTTTTCCAAAAATGGCTGCATCACTTTATATCCCAACAATATATAAGGGTTCTAATTT